TTTAATAGCTTCTAAATATGTTTCATTATCTTGTTTCTCAAATATCATTTTTTAATACTTCCTAAATAATATTGATAATGTTTATTAATATCATCAATTCTTTGTTGAATATTTGGAATTGTTTCTATTTCTTCTTTACACAGTAGTGTGTTCTTGTTTATTAACTCTTCCATTTTATTTTAATGAATATCATATCAAAATAAGATGATAAATAATTAAGTACTCATTTATAACACATTATTTTATTTATTATTTTAATAAATGTTATTTTATTTTTATTATTTTAAATAACAATAATAAAAACAAAAAAATAGAAGATAGTAAAAGAATGAGAAATAACAAAATGTTTCATCACGTTTAATTATAATATCACAAAATAATGATAGAAATGAAAATGAGAATGAAGTAAAAATGAAAGCACAAATAAAAAGGATTCAACCAATCCATTTTCAATCAAATAAGAAAAGAGAATGAAAAGTTAGGTAATGAAAATCTAAGATTGAAAAAAAAGAAATGATAGAAAGAGATTAAATTTAAAAGAAAAAGTAAGTTAAAAAGAAAAAGAAAAAAATAATTAGATCCAAATGAGTATTAAAGGGGGTTTTTAAAGTATTTCTAAATAATTCTATTTTTTTTTTCCTTTAAAAAAAAATATGAACTTAAAAAGAACCTGTACATATTTTCATATGTCTGCCCTTAATTATAAAATTGTCTTGGTAGGTGATGTTGCTACTGGTAAAACTGCATTAATTCAAAGACTTATTACAAATGGATTCACTGAAGGACATGCTCAAACCATTGTTGCATCATGTCAATCAAAAACAATAATATTAAAAGACAATAAACCAGTAAATATTAATATCTGGGATACTGCTGGACAAGAAAGATTTAGATCACTAATATCTAATTTCTATAGAGGGTCATCAGGTATTATTGTATGTTATGACGTGTCTGAAAATTCATCGCTTGATGTTGTTCCGACATGGGTTGAAGCAGCTCAAAATTCAGTAGATGACAATGTATGTTGGTTATTAGTTGGTTGTAAATCTGATTTAGTTAATTCAGTTGATGAAGAAAAACTAAAAGAGATTATTGAAAAATATCATTTTACTCATTTAACATGTTCATCTAAAACAGGAGATAGTTTGTTTTATTTGATTTTAAATAGTTGTTATAATAAAAGAAATTTATAACTCTTATTAATTAGATGTTAATGAAGTTTTTACTACACTGTGTCAATTAATTGTTGATAAATTAAATTCTGGCAATGAAACTACAACCTCAAATAAACAAGAAACTGAACAACAAG